AACTTATTCTTTTTAATATAGCTTTTTAATATAATTATATTATATCATAGAAGTTCCACAAAACTGAAAATCAGGAAAAAATGTCAAGAAAAATTCAGAGAATTTTGCAAAATTTTTGGAAAATAAAATTCTCGACTTTAAAGAAGATTTAATATGCATTACATCTATGCAGTTTTGGAATACTATTAACTCAATAAGTAAATGTAAGCAATGTTAAGAATATTAATAGTAACAATGTAATTTACATTGCTATGTTAAATTGCTTTCTCTCAACAAAATATTTGACGATTTCTAAATCGAGACGAAAATAAAAATTTCAAAAATATTATTATTATAAAAGCATTAGGGAAAATCATGAAATTTTATTTGGAAATCCAGGAAAAATTACGAAATTTTAGGATAAAGAATTCATGGTAATTCTATAGCAGCCAAAAATTATAAAACTGATGATCTTATGCCATCATAATAACAGATAGATGTTATATAACAGGTAGTTATTTCATCACGAGGGATTGCTTAGAAACAATATTCTTATTTATTTATCACACACCAATATACAAAAATGAACTGTATAATCAATATCAGAATATAATATACTACGAAATTCAAATATATTTAATAAAGATATATCTGAGTATCTTACAAGATTAGAATGATGCTTCAACTTGAAACAAAAATCATCTACAACGTTCTTTGCAGTTGGCACAGAAATTCTGGTAGAAAAACGTATTTCTACAGCCGTCCTAAGGGTTATAAATAAGTATTAATTTACGGGATTCCTTAGCTTCTAACAAGTCGCATCTAAGTAGTTGTGAGTGAAAATAAGGTGCCGAGTTTTTCTTTTCCCTAACTTTTTCCTAACTAATACTCCTCTGCATATGAACCGGAAGCCGTAAAAGATGCCTTGTCCGTTATATTCGTTCGCTTAAAGTGCAACCGAGGGTCGCGTTGAAGCGTCCACGCATCTTGTACCTGTTGAAACGCATGCTGCTGATTTTCGCCGCACTCTTTGCATAATAATTACATCTCTCTCTCTCTCTCTCTCTCTCATTACTTATCGTGTTACTTATCGTGTTACTTATGCCTCATTTTATTTAGAACAATGTCACAATACCAAATTGTTTCTAACGTGCATTGATGTTTCGATACATCAGACGAGGATCAGCAGAGCGATCTTTAATTTATATTCACTAACACAAAATTTTTTCCTGTCGTGTGATCAAATTGTTAAGGTAAAAAGGCGTGATAAAGGTCATGCTGCTGATCACTCACAACAGATGTCTTCTGAATTAATAACGTGCTATATTATTAATGAAGAATTGCGTTATTTGCAAAATATGGCGTATAAATGTGAAATTATGTAGGAAGTACGGAATATATCGGAGCGCCAGATTTAAATATTGGAATGCGTTTTAACATTTACAAAATTGTCTTACGCTTTATAGTGCAGAGGCGACTCCACTGTAAGCTATACAAGAAGGAATTACATATAGGAAGTCCATATGAGTGCTCGAGGAAAATTCGCTTATACGAGAAATCTGCGTAAGGTATCCATGATCTCGTGTAAATGGTAAGAATGCGCATGTAAAGAAGTGAGATTTTCTCGAGAGTCTCGTTCTTGATATAAAGAATGTCACATTGGATCTTGGCAACACAGCAGTGTGAGTTTTTTTTATCTAAAAGCTTTGCCATCAATCCTACGGCAACGAGCCGGTCACGCTGTACGATCACCTCGCTAATAGCCTTCACTTCTATGAAAAAACATGGAATGTATAGTGTATTTTTTTATCGGTTTACACCTTAGTAATGTGTACGATTATATCACAAGAAAGATTCAAATATTCTGTACATAATCCGCTACAATACGAAGCGCCCCGGTGTCAAGGTCGCTTCTCCCTCCTCCTTTCTGTTTTCATCTTCTCTTTCCCGCTTTATTTTTAATCTTACATTTATATATATATATATATATATATTTATATATACGCCTAAGATTTAATTACAAAGTTAGATATGTCTCAGGTTCACCTGGTATTGTACTTCATACAATTTCTCGTGACTGGCGAGTCCGAGATGCGGCCGACGAGCATATTTGCGTCGCTCCTGAGGAGACTTCCGTTTCGTCATCCGTATGCTCGAGGAAGCGCTTGTTTTCGTGCGCTGTTACCGCGTTTCCTCTGCGTATGGTTTCCTTAGTCGCCAGTCGCTTATGTTAATAGCTTGATATTGATAATTGGCACGTTTTTCAAATGGCAAGTTTCGCATTGGCACGATAATGGCCCTGAAGAATAACCTTGAGTGCAGTCTCTTCGAAGGAGAATAAGCGCAATCGAATGTTCTTATTTTTAATAATAATAAATTTTTTTCCTATCGATAAATAATGAATTCCTGAGGTTAAAAAATAGCATAAAAATATTGTAAAGAGAAATTTATAAATGATATACTGATTTAATGACACTATTTTTTGATGAAACGTTTAGACACAAGGATAATCTCGTCAGAAGGACTTCAATCTTGGCGATTCTCTGGACTTAACGTCGTTCCTGACTATCACGTGAGTGTGCACCTATGAAAGGCAAACTATCCTTATTTGTGGCTAATCGCACGGCATCCCATTATGAGTAATGTCAGTAGAAGTGATTAAACTGATACATCGGTTACCGAGGACTAAGTTGCACTTTGATACACGACTGCTTCTGATTACACACAAAGAATTGCTGGTCCAGGTAAGTCTCATTGTTGGAAGCACGGTTTTTTTAATAAGAAAGTATATTATATCTAATTATTTCATAAATCGTAAACTAATTGAAAATGTACAGTAAAAAAATCGAAAAAGTAATCTCGATTTTTGTGCTTTCATATTCTCTAATTAATGAGCATTTTTCTTTGTAATTTAAAACGATCTGCAGATTTTATCTTCCATGCGGATTGCTTACTAATAATAATAAATTGTAGATGATTGGATTACAAGTTGCAGGAAATAATTGTAATACTAATAATTTGTTGAATTAATATTAATGATTGCACTAAGTTTCTTGAATTTTCCGACTATCATAAATATTTCACGAAGTTATCTTCAGCCGGTCTCTTCACAAATCACAATTTTTTTTGCGTAAAATGTTCAATAAAAACAAAGAATAACCGAGAGAATCAAATATGATCTATATTTTTATATCTGTCGCCCATTTTTATCACATCCATCACTTGTCATATTACAGTTTCTGTGTATTGGATATAGTTTTTGAATTTACTAATCGAATAATGAAAACAAAGAATTTTCTATTTTCACATTATTGTAGTATTTAATTCTAATATTCTAATATTTAATTCTTTAATATTTAATCAAATTAAATTCATGCAATAAAAAAGATGAAGGACTAAAGTAGAAAATGATAACCTTATCGTTTATCTGTTTATGTAACAAATTTTTAGTTTTTCTTCCCAATACAGAAAACTTCATCTGTCGCATATTTAAAAGTGCGTGAAACAGTAACTTGAATGTAATTTACGCTATGCATTACCAAACCGCGATTATTTAAGAAGCTTGATTTGTCATGTTTGCGGTGAATCGGTGAAATAGAGGGCGGATTATATAAATCTTTGCAAAAATCGTAACTACATACCTTTAATTATTTTGAAACCTCGAAAGGTCTTATTTATAAAGACTATTTGTCTTTTTAATGCTTTTCTCACGTATGATTATGGCTAGGTACACTGTACCTAAACTAAATAAACTTTTTTTTAGAGAAAATCTAAATATAAAAGTATGCCTACAAACATCCAGCCTTAATATATTGTGCATATATTATAGCACAAATATCCAAGATATTCTCAGGTATCTATTTTCCGCGTTATTCACGTTTTTTGCTTATTAACGCAATTTTTTGTATTTTTACTATAAAAAGATTTCTTATAAGTCATTAATATATTAAAATTTCAATACATAACATTCCTAAAAGAAAAAATCGAGAATCAATTATAAAATACATTAAATACACTTTAAAGAATGTGTATATTATTTTCTTGAGAATGTTCAAAAATATTCATAAATTGAATATTTATAAAATGTATAAATTTGATTCTTTTTATTTTATGGTACATGTTTAAAACAAGGTGTTCCATTTTAACTTTCGCATCAAAATATCTTCAAAAGATATAAAAAAATACTGAAAAATATTTTAGATAAAAATTGTATGATCTAAAGGAGGCCAAATAATGATAAAATCAATTTTCGAAAAAATTGTTCAAGATTATAGGAAGGTCATCATCACTTTTTAAATAGTATAATACGATTTTTTGTCTAATCTGATTCCTTCATTATTCTATAAAAATATTAAAATAATAAAAACTAATAAAAACTCAATAGTTTATGAAATATTTTATTCTACTTTGACATATTTTAAATAATAAAAATAATTATTTTACGTATTACGTAAAAATAATTATCTTTTGTCTGAAATATTTTTCTTTTACACTTCTCAAGATATTTCGATGTGAAAGTTAAAATGGGACATCCTGAATATGTTTACTGTTTACAAAAATTATCTTTTCCAATTTTTTTGCAAGATCGTCTCAATAATAATTTAGTTGCATAACTGAAAGTCGAAGAAAGAAAAATTTTTGTAGGTAGAGAGATCTCTTAGACATTTTCAAGACAACGTATAAAACGAATAGAATCTATACGAAAGGCGACCAGCGACAAAGAGTTGAGCTCCTCGGATTTCGGCTTCCCGGGGCTCTATTACGAAATAAGAATTTTTCTCTCCTCTGTTTCCTATAATTCATCGACTATCCCTGATTGCACATTTTCGCACGTATTACGCAGTCTGCGTGTCGAATTGCCTACGGAAGCTTACGACCAGCCAACCTCGGCGTACGGTGGGCACGCGGCACGTCACACGCGAGTGCCATCAGCGTGTGCGACGTGAACGCGTGTGTACGCGTGGTCCATTGCGAGCTTTCCGCAAGAGCGATGGACGCACGGAAACTCAATTGTACAGGCGGGTCTTCTGTGCGTCACTTCTTCATGTCGTTCATCAGCGCGCCTTCCTTGCTTTTGTTGGAGTCGAGATTCGACTGTTGACTGCTCGTCACACCGCTACCGTTCCCGGGATACATCTTCTCTAGATGATTCAAAGACTCGCTTAGGAACTTCTGCAACGGGAAACATAACAGATTTCAGTAGAGTCGTATTGTTGGATGGGAAATCTTTAGCTGTAGTTTTAAATGAGAATCTTCTTTTCTCATCGTCTTATTACCTGTATAGCCGTTAAAGCGGCCACAATCGCAGGACTTCCGAATCCGTGTGATATGAGAGAAAAATGTGTGAGATGTCTCTGTATACTGGGATCGAGGATGTGTTGTGGCCGCGTATTGCAGAGCGGCGATCTGTCCTGGTTCAGAAGATCCATCAGCTCTTTGGTGATTTGTCTAGGAACAACGAAATCGTAAAAAAGTTAATTATATGGCTCCTTGCCATAACAGTGCAAGGAAAAACTCTTTGTCAAATCTGATATCAAATCTATTATTAACATTTAATTATTATAGCAATAATAATATATTATAGGATTGAAATTTACAGGGATACAATGGGATCGTAAAATCTATCATTGAACCTCAAAAACATCTACCTTAACTTTCCGGAGGGAGGGGGGTTACTTCCCTGTAAATTTCAATCCTATATCTCGAACCATTCAGAAATTATTTAGGTAATCTGGGACTTTTGGCGAACAATGTATATATCGTGTATAACCAATTAAATTCACAATTTTTTTAATCAGTAAACTGCGTAAATACTAAATTAAACGTCTTAAACATTTGAATGTTTTAAAAAAGCGCATTATAGTGTACATATATTAATGTAAAAATGCCGGACGTTGTCTAAAGTTTTAGTCGAAGAACTCTAGTGCTTATGCTTACTTGGTGGCATGAAGAAGTTCTTTTCTCCTGTAGGAGTCTTGTGGTTCGCAATGCTGCCGACTAAGGTATTCGGCGACTTGCTTCGCAGGGAATTCGGTTTCGCAAACGTAGCCGAAGTCCCTGGCAAGGTGAATGGCTTCTCCTGAAAAGAAAATGTACATATGTATATCGTATGTGTATGATTATGTAAACTCATTACGCGTATAATAGTCGATGAAATAATCGTGGAATTTTATTTGATTGTGAAACGCTGTCCATCGAATTCCAAATTGTTCAAGTCTTACTTAACTTATCTTGCAAAATTCACAAATAGAGAAATTCATTAGAATCCCATTTGATAAAACATCCTCAGATTTACAGCTCTTATAACTATCGGTGATCTATAAAATATATTTTGATGAACAACTATTTTTTAACACTTGCTTTGTAGAAATTTATTAGTCTTAATAGAAATAATAATATGAATTTCTTCCCAACTTGACTATGACTGATTTAATAAAGACTGACTTAATATAATTAATTATTGAATCTTTTCAAAATTGAAATTTTAAATTTACGATATAATCTTTCAAAAAAATATACACTATTAAAAGATCGATAAAGCGATGATTCCTTGGTCGAATATTCGATGAGCTCTCTATACAATCAGATAATTTAATTTTTGTAAAAGATAAAATGCTAAAAAAGATATAAATGCTAAAACACGGGATCTATTAAAAAATTTATTAAGAAATTATAAGCAGATTCGTTGGAACAAATCTTTGGATGCTACAGTCAAAGCGAAATTAACTAATTACAGTTAATGAAACGCGCATTCTCTTCAACGCGCCCTTCTTCCCTTTCGAGCCTCCCACTTTCCACCCTTGTGCAGCGCATTCCTCGCAACTTCTCTCTTAGTGATGGAAGGTAATTAGGTAGCTATACATATATGTGCAAGTAGTCTTTCATGTAAGCTGGAAGTAGACCCGCTGAGCGCTATTATCGATAAACCAAGCAAAGCTACCCGCAGCTACACGCCGCGTGTATCACCCACGAGATCGGAAACGTGGATCTACAAATGGACAAAGCCATTTGCGAGCTAACGAATTTTCTAATTTCGCAATCCTACTCACTCTTTCTTTTTTTCCTCTCCGTAACTCAGAAAACAGATATATTTCTTATACGCGAAGATTATTGAATTGATTTATTTGAAGAAACAGGCGAAATCCTGTTGCTATAGCAATTAAATCTTTTTGCCATCTCTTAAGATTCTAAGATAAAATAGAAATTATCTTTTTTAAGTAAGAAATAACGAGAGTTAGTATTTCTTTTAGCTAAATTTATATTTACGTTGCTCGAAATTCAATTTACATGAAAACGATCTGAAGTCGATCAAAATTAATAAATTATGCTGCACTTTTAGCTCACATAGGGAACGTGCGAGATTCCAAGTTGTCGCTTAATTTGGGTTTCGGAAAGAAACGAGGATTCCGCACGCGAGAATCCTTACACGCGCGAATTCTTCGCACGAGACACCACGAACATGTAAACGAACCGTATTAGCAACGGTTCTGCATATTTGCGGAAATTCTCACATATTAATAGACGTTTAATGATGTTCTAAGTACCGGTCAAATTTCGGATGCGGGGAATAAGAGATCTTAGCGAGACCGTCGTACATGATTGACAGCCTTCTAATTTCGACGTAATGGCTGCGTACAAGATTGTTGTTGCTCGTGCAAGGATCTTGCCCTGGGCAACCACCTAGATCGCCGCAGAAATCATATTCGGAATACATATTCTCTTTTTTTTTTGTTTTAATGATTACGCTTAGGTTGCGCGACATGGTTGAAAAAACTATGAACCTCATAAAATTTAATCATCGTATAGGTATATGTGAAAGTACACGATGCTTGTTGCCTTCAGCCATACAGATTGTTACTATCAGTCGTTTTGCGGGCAGAGCAGTTTATGGAAACCCATTTGTAAATGATGTAAAATTAATTAGATAATTTAATTTATCTGGAGATCTTTATGATCATGTACATATATTTACTGGGTCAAAATGAAATATACGTAATGCACACTGAACAGTGTACATACATATCGTATAACAGTAAATTCTTGAGAGTAACAAAACTTCTCTAGAGAATGATAGTTCTTTGACAGACATAATGCTTACCTCGTTATGGCTTTACGACTGTAAATAAGTATCAAATTGTAAATAAGTTATTTACGACTGTAAATAAATCTACTCTTGCCGCACATGTCTGCTGGAATAAAAATATATGTCTTATAATTCTTATTTTATCATCATAAAAATGATGACATAAATAAATTATATGTTAAAGCCGCAGTGTTCATTTTCTACACGTACAGTACATCTCCTTATATTTATAATTATCATTTACGTTTTCACAATGCGTTTGAAACATTATCCATTTAAGTCACGAAAGAGATAACTACGCCGTATAATTGTTTTTCAACAACAGTTTGAGATTTCGAATGTTGGACTGCTGTTTTATATATATATATATATATAAAATTTGGACTGCACTTTGCATATACGTCGTTGTTCTATTTTATGTGACATAAATTATAGTTCATGCGGTCGCAACCATCGTTATTTTAATAGACCGCGCCATTGATCCCACGTGTTTATGTCAGACTTGTCGTAATGCTTTGTGTAGTAAAGTTTTTACTGCGGTCATGACGAGAGAGAGTGAGAGAGTGAGCGAAAGAGAGAGAGAGAGAGAGAGAGAGAGAGAGAGAGAGAGAGAGAGTCAATGCGTAGAACATATGCATTAAGTGAAACGAGATACTGCTAACGTAGCTATGAAAAGTATGTAAGTAGTTTGAAACTGCCGACGTTTTACGTTGTTTAACATTACACAATGTTGCATGTATAATAGTGCCACTCGCACTGATTTTACGTAATCCTATTATACTCTCGCTCAATGTATTCAATAAGAATGGATATAACACGGAATGGTAAAAAAAAAATAACATTTTTATTTTTTATCTAAATAATATTTACATATTTTATAATGATATTTATATGTTTTTGTTAACTATTATCGTAGATGACAAGATTCGCGTGATTGAAAACTTCTGATTGTTAGCTATTGGAAAAATTGGATTTTGTTAAAATTTGATCTTTATTTTGAATTAGACTTACCTAAACTCAAAGGCGGAAAAACATGTTTTTTTTTTTCTTTAATTTGTGCAGCTTGAGTTGAGATACAATGAAGATACTGTATTTAAAATAATTAAGAACATTTCTTTTAAGAAAAGATCTCTCTTGAAGTTCCTTATTCCTAATATCTCGATCACTTTATCAACTCGAATTCGATAAAATAAAAAAAAAACCAACAAAATTAGAAAAGAAACTATCAACTGGGTAAAGAAAAGACCTTTCACAAGTATCCCACGATGTGGAACGTCGAATGGATATACTATTATAGTTTCGTGCAATATTTATCTACCATGGATACCACGTGTATTCTCGCTGTCGCATTTTCTACGGAACTCTCGTATTAGGCGCGCAAAACCGACAGTAAGTTAACTATCGGCGATCTTATCGACATCGTTGGACGTGGTGCAAATTTCCACCCCCTCGCCCCTCAACCTCTGCACGAGATGCAACAGGTCGTTTCGGGTACGCTTTAGTCTGCCATGGGCAACTCTTCCGCGCAGATTTGCATATCTCCCCCCATATCATATCTTTCCTTCTTCTAATCTCTTTAAGTAAATTAGCGTATCTGTCGGCGTTACTTTACCGATATGTGCGCGTTGCAAAGCGTTCACGATTATGATCGCAAATGCGAATATATGTCTTGCATTTTATCGCATTGTGTTTTCCTCCTTTGAGAGATTTTCTCGGCGCATTTATTTGGACAGTTTTTCGAATTAATTTCATAATTTTCGTATATTAAGAAAGTGATTTCTTGTAAACTTAAAAGAAAAAAAAAATGAATATTCGATTGACATCGTTATGAACAAAAAGTTTAATTATAGAGCGCTTTATAATATACCAAACTACTTTGAATAATAAAATGGTACTACATATGTTATTCTAATATAGAATGAACTTTATAAGATTAAAGGATCATTAATATTTTGCTTGTCATTGCCGTAATTATATTAACAAACGTAATTTGTTTTTTATCGTTTTATAATTGCTGTTCAGTCATTTAACTAGTTTAGATAATTTATTTCGAATTGAGTTAGTTACTCACTCACGCCTCGACAGAAAACACATTTTAAGAACGACGAATATTCAATTAAATATATTACTGAGGATGACTAAAAAATGAGTCGAAACAGCTAACTATGTAATTATATCAATTGAACTGTATTATTAGTAGAATTTTTGTTTATAGTATTGATTCTTAATTACTCTCATTTTATTCTAGTATTTAAATCTCAAGAGTCCCGATTTATTTTTTGTTTATATAATAAACAAAAATAATTGTTTTGTTATTGAAATAATACATTTATAATTAAAGCAAATGCGAATTATTGCGTTTCATGTTTTCATTTCAATTGTACTGTATTTCTTTGAGACATTCTTTTTACGCATTTATTCAGAGAGCCATCAATTCAACGCGAAATATTAATAATAATTGATTTTTTAATCAATTTTTATCAATTTTATCCTATATTAAGAAAATAATCTTTGATTTGAAAGAAAGTAGTCTGATAGCATGAGATATCAGACACCTACAAATAAAATCGTAATATACTTGGAGTAATCAAAACATATTGCTTTAGTAAAAAATAAACTTTACAAAAATCTACTGGTTGAAAAGATTATTAACATTTTGCTGATTGACATAACATAAATTATTAATCAATGCACATCGTTTTATTATCGAAATAAAATATTACAGTGTATAGTGTTTTAATATTATCGTTAATCCTACTCGATTCGACGACGTGACGCGAAGGAATGTCCGGCTTATCGAGTACGAGAGAATATGACTCAATAAAACGAAGGGACTCGCAAACCGCACGCCGCAGATTACCGCTAAAGGAGCTTGCTCAGATGGGAGATACAGATTAGTCGTGTGTGAGTAAACGAGAATGAGCGGGTAACGTGACTCGCGCGAATTATGTGATGAACGGCCGGTGCTGTTTGACGACTTCACCGTGTCGATCGCA